ACAATATAATAAACTATAAGAGACGGCGAAGAAAAACGAAAAAACGTCATTTGAAAAATTAACTAAAATAACGGAATTAAAAGTAGTAACTGACGTCTAAAACACAGAAATAATTTTTAAGCAATTTAAAAGCTGTCGAAGAAAAATAGTAAAAGTTCATACTGTTCACTCGATGTTTACTCAACTAATTATGAATATCCATAAGCAACGAAAAATGATGTTTGAAAAGAAATTGACAGAAGAATTTGTTTTATTTAACTACTGTACGTGGTTATCAATTCCTCAGTTGAATTTAGTCGATCGAAAAAGATGAGAAGAAATAAAACGAACCGGAACTTCAATGTTACCCAGATCCCCAACATGCCGTATTGCATCGTGCTGACCACCATGAACCTGCTGTGTCGGGTTGAAGTGCGGCCCAGCATTTAAACATGAGTTAGCTATGTCTCCTTTCTCGTGGATATGAAAACCGTGAGGACCCTGTGGCAGACCACTGAGAGTACCATTGATCTAAAAGGGTTTTGTTCATACCGGTGTACAGCGGCCAACCAGAAAAAATTGATCAGATGACTATAGAACAATTTAAAAAACAGCCTTGTTTGCCTAGTGCAGTGATCTCACTATAAATTGTTGTTTTTGCAATAATAAATGCGAAAAACTTCTAATCGTACCAATCGTGTTAAATGAATAATGTTTACACCTAAGCTTTTTACTGCTAACTAATTGTATCATCGGAAGCAGTAGACTTTTATTAATCTCCTTTTTAAAAATTTATGAAAAATATATACCTGCCAGTTTGCGCACATATTGTTTAAACTCATACCACTGAACAGCTAATACGCATCGATTACGTAAAGCTGTTAACAAAAGTCTAATCTTATTTGAATAAAATGCAGCCTTTTTGAGCCTTTAAATGTCTTTGCTGCATCTGTTGCTCGCAACCTAGCTCTGTTAAACCACTGCATTCACGCTTCAATATGGGATCTTTGAGAAATAGTTTAAAAACGTACAAACAAAGAAAAAATTGTGGGAAAGGAATGAAGGGGAAAAACTAGTTTTTTTATTTGTTAAATGAAAGTTCTATAGAAGTTTTGAACGCATTCAACAAACAATGTACCTTTACATATCCGCCGTACTGAGCAAAGTCAATAGTGCCAATGTTCTGAAGTGGTTGGGTTAGGTCCTGACTGGCTCTGAATACGTATGCTCGTGCTCGAACTGCTGAAAAAAAACCCACTGTCAAAAACTATACAAAAGTTTCTTATCGTTGATCGTTGCAGTTGCATTTCGTAACCTTGCTATAATGCCCTTATTCCCCTCTAACTCTTCACAGGATTACTGTTTGAGTAACTTTTCATGCTTGTAAATTCAATTGTAGGGGAGAGGAAAACGATGCCGTAGAATGGTTGCTGGCAACAGAACAGTAAGGGTAACGTGAAAATAGAGACTTTTTAGTATTTTGCTATTATTAAATAACAATAAACTACGTTCGTTTTCCTTGTTTACTGCTCTTTCAACAAAGATCAGTTGCCGTGTCAGTGAAAGCAAAGGTTGAAAGTATTTTTTCGTTCAATTTTGACTTTACATTCGTTTTCAGAATGAAAAAAGCCAAATTTTTTTAAATATTGTATTGCAAGTCGGCAAATCTTTCTGTGAAAAGTAAAATCATGCAAAAAAAGTAGAAAATGGAAAAAGTGAAAGAAAAACAGGAAAAAAAACTCAATTGAGTGCGTGAAAAAGTAAATTCAAACATGAATAATAAATTATTAACAAGATTAAAGTGACTGCTGCAAATTAATTTACGCACATTAATTTAAACTTGCTGTGCAGTAATAGTTGAAAATTTTTTGAGTTTTTCAGTTGACTCAGATAAGATGCCCCAATGGCATTTGCATGAACAACAGAAGGTATAGTCTTTCAACGCTCAGTTTAACAGTTACCTTCGGTATATTTGAAAATTTGGAAACTAGTTAACTGCTACCGTAGCCAAAACTTGTTCCTCCCAGTAACTCCCAATCACTAATTCTTCCTAGCAATCATAAAAAAAATAATCATACCGTTATACGATTGACCCTGGAAACTTAATTCGATACACCATTACTATTATGCTACCTTTAAAGTCAACTTAAGCAAAAGTCAAGCCATTTTTTTCCTCATAAAATGTTGCATGACTGAGTAAATAAACGTTTTTGTTTTACGCAACTCGGATCTACTGTCTACATTTATCTTAGGTGACACCTAAAATCAATTTTCTTCCCAAGTTTACTTGTTATTAATGAAAGAAAGAAAGTTTTTAACCTTAAACAACATATAACAAAAGCGTGAACAGAAACTGAAGGCAAACATACGATCAGATAGGGTTGAGTGAGCGAGAAATGTGACTGCAGCAGCCAGGAGAAAAGGCGACCAGCTACGGGCCATAGCAACACGGAAAATGATGATGTGCGAGCGAAGTTTTCGAACAGAATAATCGCTTCAAAAACATTTTGCCACTACTATTCCAACTGCAGAAGAACAGAGAACATGAACGACAACAGATCGTTAATAGACAGATTTGTTAGCGGGAAGTACTACATCGAAGTAGATTTAAACTTAGATCTTAAGACTCCATTAGGAAGGATGACAACAACAATTACTCCGAATGTAGGCAATCACACTAACTACCTTGTTGTTGTTATTATTCACTTAATCTATCAAAAAAATCGTCAACAGTTCTGTTTTCAGTCGGTATTAAGAAAGTGGTATAATCATGGGATTTAAAACTTACAGCAGTTTTACTTTAATACCTTAAAAATTCTACTGCCAAGAAAACTTGCAACAGGTTCTCCCAATGTTTACTACTCTATGACAGCAATGTTCACCAAACAAACAAACCTTAATACAGCTGACTTTAACGCAGTTATTCTTCGGTCCTATCACACTCTAACCTTTCGAAAGTCACGTAACTTATAACTAAAAATTTTTTCAATTCCAATCCATTACAAATTTGTTCGTCTTTTAGCCGAATGACCGTCGTTAATTTACAGTAAGCTTAAAACTGTTACTGATAAATTAGGTTCAGTTTACCATAATTGTAGTAATATGATTACTGTAATCTCATTATCAACATTTCAAACCTTTTATTTCGCATATAAACCAGTAATCAACTTCCCTTTTGAAATAAAATACTGCCTTTCAATGTGACAAAAAATTTTAATAATCATGCGACTGAAAATTACAACTGACTCAGAACAGACCGGTATTACCATGAAAACAAATTTGCTTCAAGAACTTGGCTTCAAGCCCACAATAAGTCTAATCTCCTTAGTGAAAAAAGTGAGCGTTGAATAACAGACGAAAAACAGAAGACTGGTACTCACATATATGCCGATCTGTTTTCAGTAGGTTACGTCGCTTCACCAACAGTAATTAAACCGAATAAAAACCAACGCAAATTGCTACAGTCAATTTTTTTCGCCTGAATTATACCAACAAATTGGTCTTCTAAGGCATGATTTCCTTCAAACTTCTTTTAGACACTCCGCAAATGACTTTAATAGCTACATACAATATCTCATGTAATATTTCTTCTCTGAGACTACAATAAAACTGGTTCTTTTTGCCCCTTTTTCTAAAGCTTCAGAAATATTTAAGGTGAAAGTCGTCTTTTGTGCAAAAACTGTAAACAGTAATACTATTTTTTTTAACCAAAAATATGTTCAATATTTGTACCAGTGTAATTTAATTAAATCTCTTTTAAGAGAATACCAAAAAACCGCTGTGAAAAAAATTTTATATATTATTTCACTTTTTTATTTTCAGGAGGAAATAAGAGCACGGTGCCTCAATATTAGTAGTACGTCGGCCAGTTCAACAACCAAATTTTTCGTCGAAGGTGACACAGCTCGTGCCAACTTATTTTTTCATCTCCCATATTAAAAAAATCGTACCCTAATTCAAGATGCTAATGTCAAGTCAAGGTACGGTTTTTTTAAATTTTAGCATACAGGTAAGGCCATTGACCAGGAGAATTGTACTCATTTTCTGCATTTTTTTTACAAGTTTTCTGAATTTCTACGTACACTTGAATGCAGAAAATCATTCCGAGCTAAACTCAAATTTATTTCTCTTTGTAGCTTACCTTTCTGATAGTGACCAAAAAATATTGTCTTCCAGTTAACATCATTTTATTATCTCAGTTTGCTGAAATAACAGTTCATTATGTACGTTGGTTGACAACTGGTGAAAAAATTTTTGATTCTTATTTAAATTTTTTGCCCAATTTTAACCTGTAAAAATATTTAAACAGTTTTATAAAGGTTATATAAACATTGCAAACTGACCTGTTTCATACACAATTTGTCCACTACGCTTTTATCCGCACTTCAACTTAGACTTTTTCAATAAACAAAAAGCAGTAAAAACAACTGTAAACTTTATAAAAAATATTTTAAAGTTCTAAACTTGAATAACCACAGAAGTTTTTTCGCTTTAGCACTATTTACCAATAATGAAATGTAATGAAAAAATGCCATTACAAAGCATGAAAACATTAAATACACATCAGGAAGTTTACTATAGTAGTTTTTCAATAAATTCAGTGGCTTTGCATCTGTGTTTATAGTGACAATGACAAAAAGAAGATAATCTTTGAAAGCAGGAATTTTATGTTTTGAATTTGGTAAAAAAAAAATGCAGTCTTTAATACCTCAAAAGCAAAAAATTTTAACCGATAAAAACGAAATGACATATATAAGCTATGTCAAGAAAAAAATGAAAAGCAACTTATAAAAAGCTTAATACTTAAACAAGGATCAAAGATGACTGGGGATGTTTAGTAAGGCACGTAAGGCAAGAACTTGCCAGACCAGTAGACATTAACTTGACGATCGTTTACAAACTCAAAATGAAGTTTGAAGTTTACAGCGCTCATTATTCCATCGCCAAAATCTTCCAAAATCATTTCCTTTATCGCCGCTGCATACATATCAACAGACTAAAAATAAATTTTTAATGTTTAAAAATTTACGAAATAAATATAACAAAGAAATTTTTAAACTGTTCTCGCTAAATTCTTCCTTTAATTGTTTGCCATTCTTTCATGACCGGTCATTTTTCAATTGTGCTTCATTTTTTTGGTAATAAAATGTCGACAGTTTTAGGTATTTCTGTTTACACCAAATATTCTGTCATAAAAACAATAAAAGTATGATAAAGAAAAGTTGAAATAAAAAAAATAGAAATAAAATAAGCTGCTTTTCTGGGTCAATCATTTCTGATAAAAAAGTAACCTTGTACAAACCCGATATTACCGGATCTTTGAGTTCACTAACATTATGTTCATGATAGCAGTCGTTTTGCGAGTAATCCTGAAATTCAGCAACAGTTAGTATCAGTAAGATTTGAACTTTGACCTCTTGCTACATAATTCGTTCTATTTTACGTTAGTTTATTCTTCTATTTTATTTTATGCATTAGTACCAAACCATTTCACAGTTCATTACCTTCAACATAGTACTTCCACAAACATCCCCATGAACAGCGCAGTTTCGATTTGGTGGAGCAGAAAGGTACTTTAGGTACTGCTCCTCATCTATATCCAGCAATGTGCAAAGTTTTCTGGCCTGCTCATCCTGTAGCGTCATACGATCCAACAATGCAGCAACAGTCCATTCTTTACTCATACCGATCTCATTTGCTATGTCTTCCCAAGAGAGCTTTTTTTCAATCTTTTTTTTCTTCACCAACTCGAAAACGCCATGTCGTGCCAATGACTGTCCACTACTTTCTTGCTTACCCCTAGAAACCTTTATTTAACCAATAAGCGCTACAGCGGCTCAGCACAAAACAGGATTGGTCGAAAAGAGATTCAGAGACAAAAACAATTAAACTAGCTAAAATTTGTCACTTCATCAGACTTCAATTTAGACCGTTTTTTATGAGCTTCGATGCCTAGGAGGTAACTTGTTCAAGTGATTACAGATAGGCGCGATATCAACAGAGTTGCCAATCTGTAAAATCTAATGAAACTTTTAACGAGGAACTTTGTACCCACTCATATGGCTGAAGAGTCGCAGACCAAACCATATTAACCCGGTCATCATTTCGTAAAAATTTTGATAAAGTAAATCCTGTCTCGTCAACTTTGTAGCTACCTTTCTCATTGAGCAGTTCCCTTATCGTGCCTCCATAAAGAGCCAATACCTGAACAGCTTATAGCTACTCAATTGATATAACTAGCTCAACTTTGACTTACTGATGTGAACAACCAAACAAACCTCATAAAGACGATAAATTACTGGATCACCGGAAGTTCGGGCTTTCATAAATGCCACTGGTGAGGGTTTTGTTAGAGCCGAAATGTTCAAAATATCCCGTGGAGTAAACTCCACTTTTTCACATAATGTTTTTGCTTCCAATTCTGACATCGCAAGATTTCCAGCAACAACAGTAACTAACCATTCTACTGGCTTATTTAATGCTGCTGCCAAACCCCTATATGATAAATTTTTTTTTCTCATTTCCTCTTTCAGATGTTCCGCAAACAATTTACGCGCGTCGGACATTTTTTACTTCTGCTGCGTCCTGTAACTATAACATACCAATATTTGATCCCACTAAAGAGTTATTAATCATTTTCAGCCATCACGTAAGACAGCAGAAACTACATCAATAATACGCTTATGAAAACATAAAATTAAATTTGTTAAATGTGCAATGACGAATTATGACAAATAAAATCTAATTGATTTATCGTAATTATAAGTCAATGTTATTGTTAAATTTAGACAGACTTTGTCAATAAAGATTCAGTGAGAAATATGAAGAAAAAATAGTAGTTGAAAGCAACAGTTTCGAAACTAATATGTGGTAAAAAAATTAAAAAAAAATTTATTTGAACGAAAACTGGAAATGGAAGAATGAAAGGAAAAAAGGAAATGAAAACAAACGAAACAGCGGCATAGCTAATAATGATAAATACCGATACTATGCTGGACGAGTGGTAAAGAAAACCAAAGACTGCTGGGGTTAAACTGAAGACGAACAGTTGAAAAAGCAAGCATTATTGAACAGCAAAAGCCTATATGAAAAGCGGAAAAAAAACTGAAAAATTCTTTCTGGGTTCTGAATAAAAAAAATCTGTCAGGTTCAAAAAACAACAAAAACTCTAATTAGAGGCATTAGTGTTTAATTAACACGGTGGAAATGCAAACATGCAAACGTTTATTTGAATGATTGCTCGCCTTGTTCACCATTACATTTTGTCAATTAAGACTTTTCCTGCAGACTCATCCGTCAAAATTCAGTTGGATATTAAATCAGTCAAGACCTTCAGTGGTTTCCTGCAACGCTTCTTCATCAAGCAAATAATTTTTGAAGAATATAAACTTCTTATAATATTAACCCGATACTAAATATTAAATATCTTCTTCAACAGAAATATCAATGACAGCAAAAACATAAAACATCAGTATATAATCAATGATTTCCGAGAACTAACAAACTTAAATGAGTAATTTTACGAGGAAGAAAAAAAAAAACAAAGAAAAAAAATTTATCATAATATTTTAACATATGTAACCTATTACAGTTCCGTAGCGTTTAGTGTAATATTTTAAAGCAGTTAGATTTTTCTCACGTTCTTAACTCTGTTCGCTTTTAAAAAGAAAAAAAAACAGTATAGTACATGCAAAAAACTTTATTGAAGAAGTTGAAACCTCAGAACCGTTGTGCTGATTGTATGGTGCCCAGGTTCAGAGCAACTACAACACTAACTGTTGGTTTAACAATAAACAACCCAAATTACGCAATTCAACGTCAACCCAAACTGTAACTTTTTGAAGCTGCTATAATGCTGCTGATCAGAGAAGCAAATAAAAACTGAAAATTTGTTATTTGCTGAACAGAAGTAAACTTTATTTGAGAAATTTACTAGCATCCACAGTCGTTTTCCCATCATCTTTTACTGGTTGCATCCAACCCAACAAACTGCAGCAACAACGGAAACGGCAGCAACAGTTTTGGCTGCCACTGCACAATTCAGGTAGTATCAACTTACACTCTCAATCATTATTACTGTCCCTACAACGGCAGTATGATTGATTGAAATGATAATTTTGCCAAATAAAAATAACCTATTTTAACAACAAAATAAGGAACTTTTTTTGCTTTTTTGACACTTTCTTACCGGGTATTATGGTGTTTCGTCACCTCAAACAAGTATCAGTTGATAGTAAACCATAAACAGCGAATAAAATCAATGAGAAAAAAAAACAAAAAAAAAAACAAAAAAATAAATTAATTTGCAATATCGTCTGAAATTTAAAATTTCTAAATCTCAAAACAGTTTCTTGAAAATAATGCTTTCTTCTATTTACAATATTTTCCTTCATACATAAATATACATCTCCTTTTTTTTTTTTTTTTTTTTCGAATCCCCACAGATTTCAGCAGTATCTTTACGGAATTCTGATTTCTGCCTGCAAACTATAATAAAAAGATCGAGTTGTCCATCAAAGTGTTGATTTGATTTTTAACAGAACAAAAGAAGTAACGTATTAATTGACTGATAGAAAAGTTCTATAAGGATATTAGCGAATACAACCGTTCACTTTCTGTGCTTCCATCGCCTTTCGTTAGTTTTTACATTCAATGTTCCTTTTGGAGAACTCTTCCAAAAAAAAAAAAAAAACATTATTTAGAAGAAGCAAAGCGGTTTTGTCATCTTCAAAATTTAAACGATTTCTCAATATTGACCATGAATTATACATGAAGTTTTCGATGCCCCAGAAACCATTATTTTTTCGTATGTATGCTAGTCGATTGCCCATAAGGACATCACTGACGACTAAACAACTGTTAAGAAACTATATCGAAATCAAGGCAACAAAAAAAAGAACAGAAATTTATTAGCAATTTATTTGTACAGAAATGTTAACATTGGAAAAATGAACAAATAAATGATGAACAAAAAGTCTCTTTCCCAAAGTTTCCAAAATTATTTTTGGCGACAATAAATGTGTAATACTAGCCGCACGCAAAAGAATTAGAATAGCTAACTTATTGACATGTATAGATGAAAATGCTTATAATAAAGATCAAAAGAATATTGTTTTTGTTAAATGATTTCAGAAAAAAAAAATGGCATTTATAGAGAATGGCAATAAAAGCTGCTTCAGTTCCGAAGCCTAAAATGGCTGTTAAAGAAAGCGGAAGGAAAGGAAAAGTGACTGCAATAAGGGTAGCCATTTTTGATCCTTTAGCTATCACTCCACCACTACTGTTAATCCTTGCCCCTAATTCATTTTATTTGTCTTCTGCTCTCTGGTGATGAAGGCAAGTGGATTCTGATTCAACGCTTTTCATTTTTCTAAAATTCATTGAAAATATTGATCCCGAACTGAAATGTTGCAGTTCTACAAGTTTTGTTACTCATTCAAACATCATACTTCACTTACCGTTTGTTAACATAATTCTACAACTTAAGTTTTTTTTATGTTTCTATTCTTTAACAACAGCTATCAAGCACACTTTTTTATTAACTACAGTATATATTTACATATGTATTAATATATATATATATATATATATATATATAT